GCAAATACACATCATGTACAAATAAGAATGCCACCACTTATAGAATATCAAAACTTCTTCTCCAAGTCAAGAGAGAAGAAACTTGCACTTTATAGTAAACAAGAGCCAACAATGCTAAAACAAGACAAATTCATAGCAGAGTATCTTGAAGCGAACAATGTCTGTCTTATTGCAATTATTCAAACAGTTATCGAAAGATATAAATTGGCAGAGAGCAAAGAGTTTAAGCATAAGTTTATTTCAGATCAGGAGAAAACCCTGCTAGGGAATATGGTTACTGCAAATAATACACAATTAAAATCTGACAGAAATAGCTCGATTCCAATGGACATTGTCTCTATTAAGCCAATTACCCTATCAAGCAATTATGGAAAAAATATACTAAGTAATGTCAAAAGCTCTGCTCGTAAAAGATATCTCACTGAATAAGAAGAAACAACTACTACAATTAACAATAAGCTGGAAAGCAGTCAAAGCATACTTGTACAAAATGAAGTCAGTATATTAGATTATGGTTTAGTTAAACCTCTCTCGACAGACAAACAACAGTTCAAAAAGCGAAAACAGTAAAAAAGTTAAAAAACACAAAGACATATTTAACTCAGTATGGGTACCTGAGGGAGATTTCATCTCAAAAGAGTACACAAACAAATCTTCTTATTTCTTTATACTCTGGGATCTGCCAAGAGAAACAAGCATAGCAGAAATTAAAAAATTCCTTAAGTATTTTGGTATAGTATCTATTCTAGCTTGGCAATATAACTTCACAAGCAAGGTGGCTTTCATTAAAATTACAACATTTCCGAGAAGCGAGAAACCTTATTAAGAGAAAACTGGTCAGTACACCTTGATCAAGGCAAGACGTATAGAGTCACACCAGAAAAATTTGATATTAGACTTCTAGAAGAGCGAAACAAATTCAAAACTATTATATATAATGTACTATCAACAGCATATGATAGCCTTTTACTCTGTCAGCTAAAAAAAAACAGAGTACAAGCAGTATATACACTAAGAAACTGAAATGGTAACCAAAGCAGAAGAGCACAATTGTACTTTAAGTCTAAGCAGGACCTTTTACAAGCTCAGAAGTTGACACTATACAATTTTAATACAAAATTAGAGTAGAGATCACATAGTAGAGAGGCAGAAAGCAGTAATGTTACAAGTATACAACATCCTCAAGGTATTAAAAAACCCCAAACAAACTCAAGTAGACCCTCTCGATAGGTGAATCCAAAAAGCAAAGAAGCCAAAGAAACCTTAAAACAAGATATCAATAGGCATGAAGATCTAAGGCCAAAATTAATTGAGGAAAATCTAGTTTCAGACAAAGAAAACTTAGATATTCAATCTAGAAGTATGGTAAAGCCATTTGAAAAAAGCATAAATAAACTGAAATGCAAGTTCACGAGAAAGAATATTTAGTCTATTAATACACAATAAAAAGGCAAAAAACCAAGTATTGACCAAGAACAAAAAGATTCGTAGAAAGAAGTAGTAAAAATAAAGTAGATCATGTTGATTTATTGCAAGAAATTCTTAAAAAACTAGAATCACTTGAAAAACATCAGAATGAAGGCAAAGCCCCCATGCGCTCCTAAGAGGTGCTACAGGCACCACATCAATTATAGATACCCCGAATAGTAGCCAAGTTCAGATACAGCTAGTACCATTAGGAACTTTAGAATTGGCTAACCAGATCAATATAGCAATACACAATATTAACAGGCTTAAGGTACATAATCATAGAATAGAGCTTTTGTTAAAATGGGCAGTAGAAAAAGAATACAATATAATTAGAGTCATAGAGACAAACCTGCAAGAGCGAGAAGCAGGGTTTGTGGTAAAGGACAACATTAACTTCAAAAAAATATGGTTGATCAGTTCAAAATCTAAAAAGAAAGACTTTGGTATCAGCCTCCTAGTGCGAGAGGATATAAAAAAGTATATTGGCAGAATAGAGAAGCCAAATGAATATATGTTAATAGTGCACTTCTATTTTAAGGTCTACAAGTTAGTAGTAATTCTGGTTTATATCCCTTCAAATGATATGAAGATAATAAAACAGATAGATATATTAGTTCAAGAAAAAATAAGTAGAACACAAGATAAGGATCTTACAGTTGTAATAGGAGACTTTAATCATATGATAGATCTAGTAGTAGACAAGTCATCACAAACAGAGAGTCCTAGAAAATTAGCATTGCATAAATGGCTTAAAGAACATAATTTTGTGGATATATACAGATTGCTCAACCCTTACAAAAAGAAGTTCACATGGAGCAATAATACAGTCGCAACAAGAATTGATCAAATTTGGGTATCCCAAAGCATAGTAAAAATAATACAAAAGGCTAATATTGAGAACATAGTAATGATCACAGGTAGTGATCATAGCTTAGCATTTGCAAAAATTAAATGGTATTTGCTATCACATCTAAGTAACCACCCATCCAGAAATATACCAAGTATAAAGCAAAAAGTGTAAAAGCTTGACTTAGCTACAGAAAAAAATTGGAATTGCTATCGAACGAGTCTGTGGAGTAGGCTAAACATCAAACAGCTAAAAGTATTTAAGCAAAAAACATTACCTACAGACCCACTGATATTAGAAGAGTTAGAAGCAGATCTTGATGAAATATGAGAAACTATAGAGAGTGTAATTTTACTAGCAGGTCAGCACAATCTACCAAACAAGATAGTAGATTTTGGAAAAAAAGTAAATTGTAAAGGAAAAAAAAAGCAGATTTTTAAAGGCAGCATACTTGCTAGGCAAAGTAATTAAGTAGCAAACAGTATCAGGCTACAAGAAAAAATCGCAGATTGGAATAGAAGAATCAAGCGAATAAACTTATTAGCAGATAGCAATATTAAAGATATCAAGATATTAGAAGATGGTATATGGCAGACAGATGCACTTATCTCTTAATATGTAGACCAACGCAGGCAAATTTGCCTGCATTTTTGCACTTTTTTAGCTCTGATTTACTTTTTTA